CAGGCAGGAGCTGTTTACCTCTGTGCACGGCCGACCCCAGGCAGAGCAGCAGGTAGGACAGGCGAGCTTCTCGGGCTCGGGGTATGTTGCTGTCCACGCTGCAGTGGTACTTCCTCAGGTCCGACTTGCACGCTTTGGCCAGCGAGTAGCTCACCTTGTAGTCCTGAGCGATCAGCTTCTGCCTGGTGGTCAGCGCCTCGCGGCACTGTGGACACGGCCGCAGTTTAGTTTTCAGCAACAACTCGTTTCCTTGTTTAAGGTTCATTTTCAACTTTAACATCTCATTCACGCTTGCAAGTTATTCTACACTGCAGCAAACACGAGCATTTAGACTGCATTAAACTACAACTTGTTTATCAGAGCGAGCGTTTCTGCAGTTTTTACCTGGAAAGCTCAGATCAGTTGTCAAGAAACACTCAGTGAAAATGCTAATCAGTTTCTCTAATACAAAGTGAACTCACCCTCTCAGACATTGCCTCCTCAAACTTGTGATTGAAGAGACATTTGTACACGCGCCCTTCTCCGGCCAGCGTCTGCAAAACACAGACCATCAGTAGGCAGATAAATACAAACCTACTTTTTATGCTGGGAGGTTCTTTACTTTAGCAGTCAATAATTCACAGCCATGTTGATGATTCCAAACAGCAGTCCTGTTAAGATGACTGACATTAATGGCTAGTCATTATTACTCCTCATTTTATCAAAGGGACCTAGCTTTAAACACTGTTGACACTGTACTCCCTCATTTGCAAGTAAAACATCATGAGACGTTAATTAGAACAGGTTCCTCTGGGTGCTACGATAGTGCAACAGCAGCACGTTTTTACAGTTTACCTGCAGGTTTCACAGGCTAAACTTAACACATTTTCAAACATGAAAGCTGGCCTGACTTCAAGGCCAATTAATAAAACTGCTAAAACACATTTTTAAATTTCAACCCTGGTGAACACTGTAAAACTGCACAACAGGAAATAAGTGGTTAAATGATAAAAAAAAGATCATCGTTAAGCAGAAGACAGTGCAAACGCTGTTGTCGTACTAAAACAAGCTGATGCATTTGTCATAATCAGCTGCTTTACAGAAACATAACCAACTCTGGATGTGTGCACCAAGCTGTGGACTACATCCTCACATTTTCACAGAAGCGTTCGCGGTCCTCTCTGCAGGCAAAGTACAGGTAGCGGTCAAGGTGGAAGTCATCAGAGGACAGTTCCGCGACTCTCATGATGGCCTTTTTACAGTCGTCCTTGATGGCGTGCGCCCCTGGCGGCCCCTCGGCCTCCCGCACCAGACCTTTCTCCAGGCAGGCAATCACCTCGCCCTGAGAGTGGACATCCTGCATACAGAGCACAGGCCACACTGGTAAAACAGATCAAGCATCACACAGTCAGGGTCATTTACCTCTGTAGGACAAGGGTTTCTTTTCAGCTCATTTAAGATTTGTGCAAAGCAACAGTCTATCAGTGGCAGACAAAACTACTTCCTGTCCAGGTCTCACACCTTCACCCTTTACAGACACACAATGACACCAAGTTTACCTTATCTATACTTGCCCTGAAGGAGCTGCATGTGTGAATGCAAACGTTCAAGTCAGGCAGAAACTTGCGTTAATTCCGACACTGCAGCTGCTTTTATTGCAACTGCAGCATGATACGTTCTCACCTGCCAGTGCAGGATTTGAATACCCGTTACAGAACAGCAGCAGCTACTGCAGGATACTTAGCTAACACACCAAGCTCACTTTGTCAATGTGTCTGAAGGACTCTTCGTTGTTTTCCCGCTCCGCTCACCTTCTCCCCAGTACTGACGCTGCCGCAGCGCAGAGTATTGATGTCCTCACGGCACTTGTCCATGAAGCCGCAGATCAGCCGGTAGTCACTGAAGATGATGGTGGTCATCTTGGTGATGTACTGGTTGCACTGGTAGTCGGTGATGTTGCTGCGGTGATCCACCAGGCAGGACACCAGGTAGCCCTTCCCCAGCTCCTCCGCCGCACACTCTTTAATCTGCCCAGAGAGTGAAGCTGCTCTATGAACTTGACCAAACTGAGTCACATGCAATTCAGATAATAAAAAACATTTTGGTGACAAGTCAGTCAGGCAGGCTGAGACGAACATCTGTGGATTCTAATGAGGCTTTAGTGTGTTTTAAATTAAGTTTCTACAAAGATTTGATTTCTGCTAAACCTTGATTTGCACTGAGAGGAATTAAAATATGTCCCAAACACTTGTGTGTGTCACAGCGCTGATGTCGTCAGGCCACTGCAGCAGCTGATTGTGTACGGACAACAAGTAGAGTGTTTGGCAGAGGAGTAAGGGGGAGAAAACATGGATGAGACTTAGCACTGCCCTGCTAGAGCCATCACACTGAGCAGCTAGCTTGGATGTTCAGAAAGCAGAAACCAAAGTAAAGAGCCTGGTGTTGGGGACTGACCTCAGAGATGGTCGTCTTACAGACCTCCACAGCTACAGACTCGAACTTTGGGTCGGTGGTTAGATTCAGCTTGTAGTTCCACAGCAGCTGGAGGAGAAGAAACAAAACATCTGGATCACACAGACCTACTGATGCTTCCCCGGGTCTACCTGGATCACCATGC